AAGAAGGTTCAGTGTAACCCCATCTGTGGCCACATTTTGTTGAATACATTGGAAGATGAACATACTCCATATAGTCTTGATGGGTGTATCTGCATTTTAATAACTCAGTTACCTGAAGAATGAAGGACACCAGTTCCATTTGGATATGTGTGCTTGATCTCCTAGACAATCTTCATATTTTTCCTTATGCAATAGATAGTTATCTGAATATTTTTAAGCATTAAAATCATACTTATGAGTATGTCCTTTAATATTCTGCATAGCTTCTGTATTTTCAGTCTTTTGCCTCTTATGTTTGGTCTGTAGGATGCCAGCATCCTGACTGAGGCCTAGGTGATGTGTGCTGACTGATTTACAATCAGTCATGCTGTAATTTATGTGTAGTTAGTAGCATGCTATTCAGTCTTAATCATAAAAGGCTTATAACTTTTCTAGAAAAGCTGCAGGTATTTACCAGTAAATAGTGGAACCATCTCAAAATAGTGTGCATTTATCTGTGGCCAGACTATGACAAGCATTCTGTGCCCATTTGAAAGCAAAGTCTCCCTTTTTCCATTCTGCTAAAAACTGGTGAGACTTTAATATTGCACTTATTGTGTTGATTTATCACATGTTAAAGATATTGATTTGTGCAGAATTTGAAGACATGGGTTCCTTAAAAAATATCTCACCATTTTCTAATGGTGATAAAAGCACCATAAACATGTTAAAGCATTTTGTATTGTAATTTCTATGAATATATGGATGTAAGTTATCATGAAATGAATAAGAAATAATTTATGTATGAATGATGGAATTGATTCAATTACAATTGCATTATCATTCACCTCTGCTTAGGCATGTGAACGTGAGGCCAGCAGTCAGCTTAGGCTCTCTGGAGCTGTTACGCCACGGATTTAATTTTTTTTAATTTAACAATTGCATTATGAAATTTATGGAAGCATGTAACTTTAAACTATACATGTCAATGTTTGTCAATTTCAGTTCATGTGCTCATTATTAGTAAGCGTGACCTAGCAATGTCAGTAAAGACTAAAATGCATTTTCTTCAAATCACTAACAGAACTTCTTTCAATATACTGTAAAGTGTGTTTGGTGATTGACATTTCTTATCTATTGGTGCATGGTTTAACACACCCATATGGGGTTTAGAGATTATGTGACTCAAGGATTCTGTGATAACTGTATTATCAGAATTGTAACAGACATGGTGTTTGAAGAGCTGTGTGTTAAGTGAGTACTAGTAGTAATTGTGATGTGGCCCTATTATGAACCTGAGAGCAGTGTTTTGCCTCCAGATCTGAACAGGAGGTAAGTAAATAGAAGTGAGTTTCAAGTTACCAAAATGCAATTTTGCTAACTTGAAATGTAATTCATATTATAGTAGTATTGAGAGTCAGAGTTGTAAATGATGCTTTGCTCAGAATTATATTGCAATGCAGGAAAGTTTTAATGAAATAAGTTAAATTTTGGTAAAGAGCACGTTACACGAATATATAAATTTTGTATAGCTGTGAGGTAAGTTCGTGTAACTTTCACTTTGATCAGGCACTACATTAATCAGTGACACCATTTCATTTAAAATGTAGTACTCACCTGTCAAGGCTACTTAAAGTGGATTGTGTAAATTATATAATCATTAACTGGAGGTTTTAAAAGTATAAACTGCAGCATCATTTAACGACATCCAAGTCCAAAATCTAAATCTGTAGCAACGTCACTGGAGGTAGCAGCCATCTTGGATTGCATATGTGAGGATTGGGGTTCGCCAGCTGAGGTTGTGGGAATGAATTTCGATTCTTTTTTTAAGATACTTGTTAATGTTTAAAATTTTTGAAGTGGTGTTTAAGGTAGGAGCATATTTTATTATTATCGTATTGTTGCATACGGCATGTTTTACTGATATTCGATTTTTTCCTTTTTTGAAGTGTCAAGTTTTTGGTTCATGTGACATGGCTGTGAAGAAATGTTAAAAAGAGTACTCAGATCTCTTCCATAAGGACCCAGTGTTCATGTCTTTCTTAATGTACGTTATGTTATTGACAGTATGAAGCGCATGTTGTTAAAACTTCAGATAATGTAACGCATATTTTAATTGGAGAAGGAACATGTTTAATGAGTTATAAGTAGGTGTGTTCCTTGGTAGAATATATAACACCATCCCATGTGTTACCTAAGTTGTGTTGTCTGCATAACCATATTCCATCATACTAATTCATGGAACATGACCGTGTCTTAACCCTAAGCCTTTCATGTTATATTCAGGAATCGCACACCGGTTTCTGCTGTTTACCACATAATCCGATTGAATCTTGCATCATTTGTTCACATATTGAAGAGGAAACATGAACCCCTCTGATCATGGGTAATAAAATATTGACATATCAGTTATAATTCTTTATTTGTAGGGTGGTGGTACATATAAATAGTTGGTACCCTTGGGGTTGTTCCGCATTTCATTTTTCAAACTCTCTTGAAATATTCTATCGCATACTGAATTCCCCTATTGGATTTCATTTTTTATATCTGGCATGCATGGAATTTACCAGATGTAATTGAGAATTAAATAGTAACTAATCCATGTGTTTGTTAGTTGTGTAAATTTGACTTATGGTTATTAATTTCTAAGTTTATATTTATCACCTAATGTGGTAAAAATATAGCATCTCTGTTTTTGTTTATAAATTGCCTATGTTTTAAACTTGTCTTGCATTGAACTGTTGAAAAAAACATTTATTGCATACTTTTTATTCAATGAAAACAATAGGGAATTTGCAGTAGTTGTGAACTTTTCAAGTGAAAGGCTTCTTGACTCTTCAGTTCTGTCAGAGGGTTAATTTGCACGATAGTCACAGTGTTGTAAGTATTTTTCCTGTACCAAAGTTGACATTTCTGTAGATTAGTGGCAGAATGATATTAATCTTTTTTAAGACTGTGTTTCTACTGAGTAACAGATTAAGAGGTTAAAGTGTTAATGTAAATTTATTGATGTACATTTGGAATCTTTTTCATTGAAGTGTTTGAAATTAATGCCATAGAAAATATCTTCAACAATTTGTGATTCCATGTTCAGTTTTGTAAAAGAAAAACTTGAAAAGAAAATTACAGCATTATGAAGACAACACTTGTTATACAAATGTTGCATTATTGGAGCAGTGTGTTTCAGAATGAGAATATATAATATTTACAAAACATCAGTATATATTTATCTGAAGCAGGTAACAGGTATTAATAAGTAATAGTTCTCCAAAGTGTAGTTTGGCATATTGAAGTAATGATTATATATTTTCCAGTTGTACGAAATTAATACACGTGTTTTATTTGTGTAGAGGAATGTAAGACAGTTTTCTTGTTATAATGCAAAAGTTATCATTCGTATATATCTTAATATCAGTTTTATATATAATATGAGGGTCATTCAGAAATGTTGGGACAAGCCTGGAACACAGGCTGAAAGACAATGTTGCCATCATTCTGGCCACTTCCTGATGGATGCAACAAACCAGTGTTTTGTGATAGTACATACTGACTAGAGAACTCTGCTGTGTGAGTCATTGCATTGGTGTTAGGGAATTGGTGGCCCCACAGTGACACACATCTTCACTGGAAAATCCAGCAGTGGCACAGACGTGAATGGGTACAGAAGGTGTTGGTGCTGCATTACAATGCCAGGCCTCATATCCACAATCAAACATGGATGACTTGCAGAGTGGAGTACACAAGTTTGTGTTTAACATCCAAAAAAACTGGTTTGCTGCAGCTGTTAGGGAGTTAAATTGGCAGTGGTGCATTGCCCTCAGTTGGGAGTATACTGAAATGTGATTGTGTAGCTATCACTCTCTCAGTCTGTACTTCAGGTGAAGCTCAATTATTTATGAATAACCTTTGTAGTTTATTAATGCTAACTGATTTTTCATTATACCCTACAGTTGTCTGCAACTTCACATATCTTTTCAGGTGTAGTTGCGCAAAGAGAATAATCATTGTATATGCTGGTAGTACATACTTGTATCTAACTGGACATTTTTAAGGTGAAATTTAAATAATTGCTTGTAGATGTGACTTTTTGTAGCCCGAAATTGTGCAAATTTACCTTATCACACCAGAGCTTATTGTATTGTGATTCTGAATGTTAATGGTGCTCCTGGAATTCTCTTTGTTCTTTAGAATTTGAATTCATGTATTAGAGGGGGATATTTTGATTTTATGCATCTGTAAACTAAAGTTTTTCTCTATTGTGTGTTTCTGCATGTGGTGCTTTACTGTGAAACCTAAACAGTTAACAAATCTCCATTATCATGACTTAAACTACCTGGGTTTTTTTCATCAGAATCTATTAGAGCCATCAGCCATGTGATTACTGATAGAATCCCTATGTTTCAGAGACTGATAGAGCTGACGATGGAGACAGATATCTGCATTAAATCTTTTTTTTTTCTGTTTGATGATGGAGTTTGCTAGTTAGTTAAGATTCTTAGTCATTTAAATACTATTATAAGATCAAAATGATTGAGTATGGACTTGATGTCAAGAATTCAATGATGCTCTTCAGGGTTGTGATGTGTTGTCTTATAGATAGTTATATATGTTATGGAGGAATGTGTCACATCAGTCTTCCATCTCCCCCTGGTTATGGAGGTGATACATTCTTCCAAAACATTCATAAGCACCTACAAGACTGAGGCATCACATACAGAAGACTGGCTGAGGAATCTTGTTTGGGAAAACTGTTAAATGTGGTGCAGCTAAGCTAAGCTAACCTAACCAGTTCAAGCCATCACAAATAAATCATATCCAAGTTAGGAAGGATAATTTGTGTGCAGTCATTATGCTGTTATGGAACATGGGTGTTGTACTGTAAGCTAATTCTATATAGTTCAGTATTGGGAAACATATGGAGAAGACATATAATCTGCACTCCATGAAATAGAATCTTCAAGAATATATTAGTTGCATATCGGGTCAGTAAATTGTGCACATTTAATAGAACCTTAGGTTCATTATTTTATCCAAATTAGCCCACAACTGTTTCCTATCCTGAGTGAGATGAATCCATTCTCTTCATATTTTATGACCATGCTTCTCTGATCCCATTCTCCTTTATTTTATCATCCCAATAATATTTGGTGAAGGGTAAAAATTGTGGATGTTGCTCATCTCACCACAGGTATTGAAGCATCCAGACATTAGTGAAGTGATTTTCCCTCCTAACATGGCAATTGCCATGTAGTGCCTGAATTGGCACATATATTGTGTACTTCAAAGAGAAGTGTGTGGTGGGAAACAAAGAGAAAGGCGGAGGAGTAGGCAGTAAGTTTTGGTTTTTGGGACTAGTGGTTATGGAGCTGTTGTTGATTGGTGGAGTAAAAGTGAATCTGGGCCCATTTGTAGCATTTGTTAAAAACTGAGAGAAAGCACTTGCAAGAAATTTCTGATCTAAAGAAAGGAACTAGTGCCATAGGTCTCAAATATGATAAATTAATGTATAGGGAAGGCCTGGTTCCTTCATTGTACAAATAAGAGACTTGCATGATCTGCTCAGGGTGAAACTATTTTTTCTCTACATGTTGGGCTAGATCCAACTTTCAGTAGTTTTAATGGTGTTGTCTGTGTGTCTAGATTTTTTTGGCCAGGATGCTGGTGTACTGTAGCTACATGTGATTGTGCAGGTTTATACTGTATTCTGTTTTGGCTGACTTACCCAAATAATAGAAATGGATATTCCAATTTAATTATTTTACCCATTTTAATAGAATGCTCACTTTGTTCAATGTATAATATCCCATACTCACAAGGGATGCTGTAGACTCCTAATGGTTTTATGGCCAGGTTATCTTTGATGGGCTTAAGGAATCCTTAGTCGGAGGCCTACCACCTTCATGTTAAGCTCGGACAGTGCCGAATAATGCAGTTGAAGGTGGTACTGGCAAAAGTAGAAAAGCCACTGAAGTTTGACTATCTCTACAGGTTGTGATCCTGTCAGGTGGATGCTGTGTCATTTGTTCTAATTTTTAAAATGGGACACATTAATGTTGTCAGTAAGATGTGACATGTTTCAAGGTGTCTTGTTGAAGGAAAGCATATGTTACTTTGATGTTTTATGTTGATTGGTAAAATGATAAGGGAGAATTAGGTGGAAGAAACTGCTGTGTTACAAGGTATTATTTATTTTGAGCAATTTATGTTCTTGTTGAATGCTGTGTAAAATTATGATGATGATAGTGGTTCTCTGTATTTCTTACTAAGTGTAAAATTGTTCTTGAAATATACAAACTGATTCCAGGTTTAACCCAGCCTTCAACATGGCTGCAATTAAACAAGTTATTAATGAAGCTGTGGAAAGGGGTAAGTATTGTAGTTAAAAATATATTCAAAAGATAGTTCAGAGGTGTTATTTCTCTTGCTCATAACTAACAAATGATTGTTCAGTGTGGTTTAGTTGTATGGATTTAAATTATGTTAATTTTGCATACAGTTTGATGCCTTTCAAGTCATTGAATACTAACAATGTAAATTTTCATTCTTTCTTCATGTAATTGATGGTGATGTTGATAATTCAGTAAAGTTTTTAATAATGATGATGATGATGACAGTAAGAGTATGACATAATTTTGGTGTTAACTGTGGATTATGTGATCTTTTGTACAGTGAGGATGCCTACTCCTATGCGGCTAAGGGATCTAATTAGACAGATACGGGCCGCACGGACGGCAGCAGAAGAACGTGCAGTCATAAACAAAGAATGTGCTTATATCCGTTCAACATTTCGTGAAGAAGATAGTGTCTGGCGCTGTCGAAATATTGCCAAATTGCTGTACATACATATGCTTGGGTGAGAAAAATTTAACAGACCACAGTGAAAATAATTTTTATTTATGAGATTGTGGCTACTTGTTCACTGAGGATGTTTTGTAGATTCCAGTTACATTAATGTGAACAGGATTGGTCCACATCACCCTTTCCCCGCTAGAGATATTTTAGTTCACTGCAACATTAAAGTAGTAATTTGGAGCAATGGGAGGGTGTGGAAGGAAATAGAATAGATAAATCTTTTCTTGGGAGTGCAGGCTGAATGTGTTTGTTGCATTTATAATTTGATTTAGTAACAAATGATTGTGATTCAGGTATCCAGCACACTTTGGTCAGCTAGAATGCCTGAAGTTGATAGCTTCACAACGGTTCACTGACAAACGAATTGGATACTTGGGTGCCATGCTGTTGTTGGATGAACGCCAGGATGTTCACCTACTGATCACGAACTGCTTAAAGAAGTGAGTCATATAATGCCATAGTTAACACAGCTGATGCCAAATAAAGATAAGATGTATACATTTATTGTGATTGTGTTTAAAACTGTAATTCTGTTAAGAGAAAAAATTCTGGCAGTTTTGATGTGAAGCAGTGAACTTCAAAACACCCAACATTTTATACTGTAATAATTTTTTTAAAGTTCGTTGTTACTGTTGATGGCTGAGTGAATAAATTAACTATTGATTTCACATATATTATACATCTGAGGTATTTTAATGTTAAATAGCTGTTTTTTTAAAAACTAATTGATTTGTAGCTCAGCATTTATTTTGCTGTATTTTAGTTATGGTTGTATGGAATGATGCTGTCAGTAGCTCAGATTGTAGTCAGGATGGTTAGTGAATAATGAATTTGGAAGGAGGTGGTAGGAAGCAGTCACAACATAATTCAGTGTACTATCTTGGAATTTTCCTTGAGTAAGAAAATACAATGAATTAATCAGGATAGTCAGTATCTGGGCTGAGGTTTTAACCTGGAATCTCCCAGATATGAAACAGGAGTGCAAGGTGTTTGGTCCCAGTATTTAGTATTCTTAGTATTTATCAGAATCTCTGGTATAGATGTATTGCAGCTTTTATACACCATGATGAATACTTTAATTGTTCTTTCATAAATTTTTTTACCTTCATAGGAGTATAAAAAAATCTCAGATATAATTTTACCTTCATAGGAGTATAAAAAAATCATGTAAAGTACAAATTTACATATTTATTTTATAAAAAAGGTACTTATGTAAACTTTGGTAAAGCAAAATGGAGTGTGTCTGGCTAGTCAGTATAATATAAAAGTATAATTTTGTACTTGGAATATGAAAGCCACAGTTTTATGTTGTTAGAAGGATGACATGAAAATCAACATTTAGGTAAAATGTAAAATTATAGTTCAGATTATCTCATGGGCTAAAATTGAATTTTATTAATGAATTGTAATAAAGGTCCTTGGTAATAAAGTACATGAAATTGTTGTTCAGATAGAATTTAAGTTTCTCAGTGTGCTAAGTGGACAGTGATTACCCTGTTTTCCTAAATTTGTCTTTGACCAAACTATGTTCACAGAAAGTTCAAGAATATTTAGTAGTTCAAACTTCCACTGTAATTGATTAAAATTTATCTTTCAAAATTTTGTATTTTTGTAGGGCTCAGTTATATATTTGGGTGACATATAGAATAAATCAGTAACTCTGACAAACTTTTTAATATTGTAGGAAATTGTGAATGAATGACATGTATGAAAGTGTTAATGTCATCTGTTTTAGAATTGCAACAACTTAAAATAATGTCCACCTAATCCCTAAATATGTTATGCATTTAATATTGTGTGCTTTATGAATTATTCATTTGAGGTCAGTTTGAAGTTTAAATTAAGTAAGTTCTTATTATTTTAATTCTGACTTCACACTGGGTTATTCCATTTTGTATTTCAGTTTACTGTAACTTCATAAAATTATATTTCTTGCACCAATTATTTGTAGATAGTTTATGAACCAAATAATAGAATCTCTGTAATGGGGCTTGGTAGATTTTTGGTTTGATTCATGTTAACCCATCAAAACCTGTTACTGTTTCAGTGATCTGAATAGTTCAACACAGTTTGTCGTTGGTCTTGCATTGTGTACCTTGGGTGCCATTGCATCGCCTGAAATGTCTCGTGATCTGGCCTCTGAGGTGGAACGGCTAATGAAGTCACCAAATGCATATATTCGCAAGAAAGCTGCATTATGTGCATTCCGTATAATTTGTAAAGTTCCAGAATTAATGGAGATCTTTCTCCCAGCAACACGGTCATTACTGTCAGAGAAAAATCACGGTGAGTTATGCAGATTTATGTGATTAGATAGTTATTCTGGTGTTTTTTCTTTCATTTAAAAAAATGTTTTTGATTACTATTAAAAGGGAAAAGAGAACTTGTATGCCAAAGGTAATACAACATTGTGTGATGTTGGTTTATGTTGTCCTATGATGTAATGTGTGAAGATTATTGTTCTTACAGTCACATTTACACATTACTGTTTGTAGCTATTGCTTAGCTTTGTTTGCAGCTGACATATTGTAATTTAATTAGGGATGAGTTCCAAATTACATATCACCTTAATTCCACAGTAGTTACATTGAATAAATAGTGAAACCTCTTTGGAAACAGATCAAAGGTGACACAGCAACAAGGTTTTACTACAAATGTTTATTATATATCCTATTTTGTGCAAAATTTGTATGAGGTCTGTCTGTCATTTCTATCTAGGAACAGACATGACTTCATGGGGGCATGGTGACATGATTCTACTACATTGACAATTGTTGGGATTTAATTTCTTTTGTGATCGCAGTTTATGTTTTATTGGATCATTATTTTATAGATGACTGTTTTCTGGGATGTTGTGCAATGCTTCATCAAGAAGGTCCTGATTATGAAGGCAGTGAGCACCTGTGTAATGTCAGTAAATGCTACACAGTGCAGCATCCAAGAAGACAGTAATCTTCTTGTTATTTAACTGTCAGACCTCTTAAAAGATTGTATTTTTATGGGTGTCATTTGTAAAGAATACTAGCTGTTACATGTAGTTTACTTTGCAGGTGTTTTAATTACTGGAGTCACCTTAATCACAGAAATGTGTGAAAACAGCCCTGACACATTAAGTCACTTCAAAAAGGTAAGCCCTTTGTATCACATAGAAAATACTATTAATGTCAAGCATGTAAGGATATCATTTGGGTTTGCATTTGAAACAGCCGGAAAATACGGAGCAGTTTATCACATAGGGTGTAGCCTTGTTATTGGTGCTGTAACTTTTCTGGAGTGCTAACCACACTTGATTACAGTGTTTGGTAAAACTAAATGGGAAAACCATTATTCTAAGAAAATAAGTTTTGAGGTGAGATACATTATATTTGAGCAAATAGAGTAAGTAAATATGTAATTAAATTACCAGACATTTGCTGTTGTATGTAACATGGCAGTTACAAGTTTTCCATTTATGAATTTGAATTCATAATAAATTTTAAATAGAGGTTAGGTGATTTAAGCTGTTCATATTCCAATTTATAAACGTGGCATAATTTTCACATGACATGATGGATTTTATAGTGCTTGTCTTTTATGTTATAAAACCATTATTTTTCACAGATGGGGAATACATTATTTATTGATTATTTGAAATCACAGTAGTTAATTTAGTATGCTTCTGACAAGGATTTTTTCATTATAGTTCTTGTCATTTTGATTTGTCTGAATGGACTTGTGGTATGTGCTCTTTTGATTCTGTTTGGGTCTGTTTTTTGTTTATTGGGCTTCAGCTAATGGGCTTATCTTATCCTGCATTTGACATTTCTACTAGGCTAATAGTACCAATAGAATAGAGGATCTGTAGTTAACTGTAGAATCCAGGGGACTGATTTGGAATGAAATTGTAATTTTCACCGCCAACCTGCATGTGTCATAAATTTTGTGGGGTATGATATATGACTCACATAAAGTGAAAATGTCTTGGAAAAATGATCAAATGTAATACAGGTTCTTGTATGATACAACTGAAATATATAATACTAGGAATGAATGATGCCAAATAATGTGATTTAAACAGCTCTGAGTTTGTTAATTTGAAGTAGTGAGTTAAAATTCTAAGGTTTATAAAAGTTAGGAATGTTATGTCTGAAGTATATACACATTGAAGTTTTGTCTCTGGTATGATGTTAAAAGACTGATTAATAACTGTACATGTGTAGTCAGATTCTTTTAGATCTGAACTGTGTTATTCATAAGGTACCTTGTTTTAATATGTTTCAAACCTTTGTAGATCATTGCCAAAAAGAATTTGATATACTAACCTAAATGACAATCACAGGACCACAAAGTGTTCGGTGAATTCTATTATGTGGTTTTCATTGTGTGTGTGTGTTTAGTAATCCAGTCACCATTCAATTAAATTAATTCTAATATATGGCTTTTTCTGTTTGTGTCCATGTTTAGGATTCCGGTCACCGTGAGGTAAAAAGAAACTGATTGTGTTTTTCAATTCTTGGTGCTTAGAGCCTTCACATTTGAAACTGTTTAGCTGTTGCATGTGCTGCTTGTTCTAAAACAATAGTGCAGTACAGTTAGCAAACTGCATTTCTCTACTGATATGTGTCATTGGTGCTAAATTTTTGGCCACTGAACTAAATGGTTTTTATGATGATGATCTGTGGGGTGAAAGGTTGAGCACCATTGCTATGGATTTTAAATGCCCTTTATATAATTACTGCTTTCACTACACCAAGAATGTAAATACTTTGCATTTATATTTATAGCATGTATAAGATGTGGAAGTTCACACGTTTATGAAAATTAGTTACACTATACACATCTTATGTAGTTGAGCCAATTTGTTGACAGTTTTTGTTGTAGAAATCACAATGTAGGATTTCATGTGTACTTACATAAATCATCTGGGTTGCATGAAGGATATTGAATTTTGCATGCTCCTTATTTAAAGGTTGGCAGTGAAAAATTGCATGTTATGGGAAGGACCTTACAACTATATTATATTAAAAATATGGGGAAACCAGGACAGAGTTCTAAGTACAGAAAACGTCAAAGAATACCAAAGACAAATTGTGATCCTTGTTGGTGACGCTTGCTTCGTTGGTTGAAAAAATCAACAGAAATTGCTGTGGTTGGAACTATAACCTCTGATCCTTCAACTCTGTGTGGCCTCTTCGCTTGAAATAACATATTAAATGCAATTTTTTTTATTTATTTGTAGTTTATATAAGAATGTTGTTAGCTCAAACTATATAGCGTCAGATGCTATGATTATTAATGAATTGGAAAAGATATGGATGGAAGCAATTGTTGCCTAATCTGAAGGTGCTGAGTGGGACTGAGGGAAACCATAAAAAACTTTAATGAGGATAGCTGGTCTCTCATTTAATATTTGAACGCAGGACCTCCCAGATAAAAAGCATGCATAATGACCACTCAGCTGTATGTTAATATGGTATCCAGCAGTCTTATCATAAAACAGGCAAGAAATTATTTTAACCTGGAAGGCAGATAGGACTACTTTGAAGTGACCATTGGTCAGAGGGGAATTATGTTCAAAATAGCTAGGTGTCAGTTATTCACACTGATTTACCATGTTTTTTTTTTATAGATTTACCAAATACTTGAAAGTAATATTACCATATTAATAATTAATTTGAATGAAATATCCTGGAGTGTGTGCTTCAGACTGAGTCTCCTGGGCTCAATTTGACTTTTTCATATAGTTGGTAGTGTAATAAATGAAAGTAGCTATACCTTGCACTAGAAAGTGCATAACCATCTTTACTGGGACCTGAACACAAGACATATTTCAGGGTTGTGGCTTTGTTCCTGTAATCTCTACACTGAAACAAACAACTTTGGTTCTTGGTGCTGTTCTTTTATCATGTTTAGTTTCTGACCTATGGAAACTGACCTTCATTGTAACTTGAACCCAGGAGCTAACCTGACTGAGGTTTTTATGATTTTCATAAGTCTTTCCAGGGACAGAATTCTGAAGTAGGCAGTGAGAGTGCCCCTGTCATATCCCTATGTACTTGCTATTCACGATAGTTTTCATGCCACTTTCAGTACAAAAACTAAGAAACTTCCACGTGTGGCATTAATGACCATCAAAGAACTACATACTGGTGGGGGAGTCATGATGGTTGCTAGACATAATAGCTATGGTTTTATGGTCTATAATGCAAACCATAGGACCAAGAATCCCTTAACTGTGTTGCCATGGTAGTGATTATAACTGTTTAAGTACAAGCATGACAGGTATCAGCTGTTGTTAAAAAGATTTGTTTATTACTGCTGGTTAGACTGAGGTTTTATGGGCAATATTTTTCTTATGTGTTGCATAAAATATAGAATTTCTTATAGAGTCACTCCCCAGCTCTATCTGGATGCAGATTGAAGCTTTCACCTCTTCATCTTGTGTGAACATTTCAAGGTGTTTTATCTGTGTATTATTTGGATTCTTATTCTGACAAGTTCTCTGTTCCCCTGTCTGTATGTTTGAGTTGTAATTTTTTACCATGCCTCACAAAGTAGAGTGTTAAAAGGTAGTATGTAAGGTAATTCAAATCTGTTAACTGTAATTGTTTAGATACAGTGAATTTAAATGGTATGGCAAAGGGTTAGATTACCTCTCCAAATGTATTTTTGTTTTCTCTTAATTTCACATATATGTAAAACATATTGGACACTTTTCTTGACACTTGTGCATGTCTGCAAAGTGGAAAAATGTTCATAATTTATACTGAGTTATGCCTTTTGTTATTCACGTTCTTGAGGTCTGTCTGTTGTGTTATAACATTTAGCTGGTTGTGATAACAATGAAGTCTTCATAAAGTTAAGTGAATCATAAGAAATTTAGTATTACTCTTCAATTAAAGTTATTTAAATATGAATGGAATAATTTATGCACGTGTCCATGTGTTTGTGAATGTATGTAAGTTTGTTTTCCCTGGCTAACATTTAAATCCTCTGATTATAGTTTAGTGGATGTAGGGGTAATTGTTTCTGCATAGTGTCTACCATACAGACTGACTCCTAATTTTTCAAAAAGGATGCTTTCTTGAAAGTCATTTGTTAGCAAATATTTGCCACGTGAAAATGAACAAAATATAATGCCATGTCCTGCTGACTGATAGCAACTGATGCAGTGACAGCACACAGTGGAGAGCCCAAGCCTTGGAGTAGCTACCGAATATCCTGTCTGTTCCTTCTCATTTCTTATATAAATCCTCTAATGGTTTAATGTTATGCTTTTGTAGAAGAAATGTTTATGCCTGTACTAGTATGTTATCATTCATCATTCATAAGTTTCTGATTTGATTTTCTAAGTATTAGGCCTTTGCACTTTCATCGAACATTAAGAATTTCTGCAGCCAGCCATGTCATATGCTTATTTGAAGGAAAAGAATGCGTTTGTATGTTATATGTTGGTGTCTGATGGTGGAGTGTGTTCAGCATATCAGTGACATAGGTGGGAAAGTGTTTGTGTTAGTCCTTGTCATACCAGGCTTATTACAGCTCTATTATAGAGGTTCATGGCCTAATTATATTGAATAATCTCATTAATAAAAGTGCAGTTCAACATTCCAGCACACAACACATAAGTACAGCCTTTAAATGTTATAGTTTACATTCTCTATCACGGTATGTTGGGCTGATAAAAGTTAATATCCCTTTTGTAAGAAATCCTTGACTCTTGTATAATTGTATGACCTGCATATGCTGGCCTCTCTTTCTGAACAGGTTTCTCAGCTCTGAATAAGGTTTTGTTTTTGTGAATGGGCTTTGCAGTTAAATATTTTTAGTCATACAATTTTTGTATAGTGTTCTTTGAAACTGATTGATTGTTACAGATTGTGCCGAACTTGGTTCGTATTCTAAAAAATCTAATACTAGCAGGATATTCTCCGGAACATGATGTCTCCGGTGTTAGTGATCCCTTTCTTCAAGTAAGTGAAGTTTGTGTGAAATATTATTTTTTTAAGTAGATGAAAAATTTAAATGTGATTGGAGTACAGTAGAGTCCTGGTTGTGTAACATTAATGGGACTGAAGGGCTGTTGAACAGTCAAAAATATTGGATAATATGGAAGACTAACAGAAAAGATGAAGATAAGTAAATATCAACTCTTTGTATGATATTACTAAATTACAAAGAAAATACAGTATGGCATGAAATAAAAAAAATCTCACAAATACAAATTTAAATTACAAAGGAAATACAGTATGGCATCAAATAAAAAAAATCTCACAAATACAAATAGTATTCAACATAATCTAAATTTTTAAATAAAGGAGTTTATTTTTTTAAGATATTAGTTGTGGGTATTTGCTTCTGAACCTCCTTCCTTTTATTTACTGCAAGATCATGTCAGCACTTGAACAGTAATATGTCTGTAGCAACTGAATACATAAAATGTAGGTGTGTGGTGGGGCAGTATGATTCATTCTCCTTCATGCTGAGCTGACTGCTGATAAAATGGAATATTTCAATACAACATGTCTGGTAAAATGGGATGTCTGATAACTGAAGGTCAGATAAGCAGGACTCTGCTGTATGTTGCTTAGAATGTCTCATTCCTTACTACTTTCACTTCCAGCAACTGCTTCTCACTTTACTCCTTGCCCAACCATTTCTAGCATTACACTAGCAGTACGTAGTATTACCATGTAGGTAGAGAAATGAATAGCAAATAATCTACGTATGTTGAAGGAATTACAATGAAGAAATTATGTGTTCTGAAAGACAGTTTTTGTTGTGTCTCAGCTTACTATCTGACTTCAGTTACATTTTATAGTTTGGATAAGTCATTAGTAAGTGATCAAACTCAGATACAGAAGTAAACTTGTTCATGTCAGTCTCACGTTTATGTGGAACTGCTTGTAATTACAGAAGCTATGGAAATTGAGTCATCATATCTGGCACCGAGTAAGTGCTGCAGGTTTAATCTAAGTATCATAGTTTTAGTGATGTAACTATAAAATATAACATGAAAGATATGCCAGTACTGAGATATAACTTAGTATGAGTTTAACTTGTGGTTGAATTTATTTTATACCTGATGTATACGTAAACTTCGTCTGTGTTCTTTGATTCCCATTTTTTTCTAGTCTGGTCATTGTTAAATGTGGCTCATCATGTTCATCATCTTATGCACTCTTTATCAACTTACATCTTTTCATTATTACACGTGTTCAGAACATCTTTGGTTTGTTCACAGTTATGTTAACTTCAGGTAACTTTGAAATATCATAAACAGTGGCTTCGGGTGATATAAGTTAGCCCAGTTATTGTATTATTGGCACTAATGAATAGTACCTGTTTTACAAAAACACTATGCAACAAGGGAGCCAATCACACAGTATGAGAAAAATATATTTTTGGAAATATTTCAATATTTGACAAGGTATGAACCATATGGGCTTACAGGATGAATCTTTATAAATGTTTTCTTGTTTACAAATAATTCAGAATATATGTATCTAAGAAGGGGCAATAACAGGATTATGGAGAAAAGTAAGGAGCTTGATAATTTGTATTCTTCATCAGACATTAAGACGATGAGATATACAAGCATGTGAACGATGAAAAATATATTTACTAAGTTTTAGCCAGAAAACCTGAAGGGATCGGAGACCAAGGTTTAGATGGAAGTATAATATTAAGATATTAAAAAAAAGGGTGTTTCAATGTAGATTGCATTTGTCTGACTGATAGGAGTCAGATCTATTGTGAATATGGTATTGGACCTTTGGGTTATACAGAATTTCTTGACTAGATGAGTGACTATTAGCTAGGACTCTTCTGTGTAAAGGTGGTTACTTTGTTCATTGAAGGCTTTTGTGATGTCCAGGTTAAGATTCTGCGTCTGCTGAGGATATTGGGGAAGAATGATGCAGAAGCCTCGGAAGCAATGAATGACATTCTTGCTCAAGTGGCAACAAACACTGAAACTAGCAAGAATGTTGGTAACACAATCCTCTATGAGACAGTTCTGTCCATTATGGATATTAAATCTGAGAGTGGTTTGAGGGTAAGTTATGTTAAAAAAGTTGCTTCAGGTTAATATTTTTACATTAATATTTAGAAATTCTTGCACATAGTTTTGTGACTTGGGATATCCCAAGCTTGGATGACTGTGGTTGGATTAGAATATAACAATTTATTTACATTCCGTAGGATGTAGACCATGTCATGTGTCTGTGTGTGTGCGCACATGTGAGGTACACTTCAGATGTTAGGCTGGTTACATAGTGAACTTATGCCTCTATTATGATATTGGCTTTCTGAAGGGCTGCCCTTTCTATATCCAATGTACATTTAAAATTCAGGCCTGTAGGTGGGAAAGGATACTTTGTAAAGATTTCTCAACTCAGGGATATTTTATGTAATTTATTGCTGAGATGAGCTACTAAAAAGGCCTTGGTATTTGTTGTATGAAACAAGTAGTCCTAGTATGACCTGACAAGCTGATGTCTATATTGTTTTTATAAAATATAACCTGAAAATTTCCCAGAGTCATATTGATGCTTTTTATCACATGGATAAGTATTTTCACACATAAATTTGTATGCATAATTTATATTATGATAATAAGAGTATGGCATTTTAGCAACAGTCCTAATACCTTTTTACCAAGATCTATTCATGGAAAGTATATCTGTATGATAAGGCAAATATATGTATTTTTGTGGATTACTTACATGTAGAGTCTATAAAATGATTGTATTGTGTGAAAGTTATGTCTGTTCAGGACCCAACTGCATGTTTCATCTCCAAAACAAGTGAATTTTATTGTGATTTTATATTCTGATTCTACACTTTAATTTTCTAACATCAAGTAAGTCCCCTATGAAAGCTCTTTTTGTAAAAATTCAAATCACACTTTATCTCTTTTATCAAAAAATGGTTTTTATTTTTAAAAAAGTAATTTAAAAACTCATAATCTTTTATCATAAGGTTATTATGTCATATCATGTTATTTATGTTGGAATATAATATATCTTAATGCCTCGTTTTATTTCAGGTTCTTGCAGTAAATATTCTGGGAAGGTTTCTACTAAATAATGATAAGAACATTCGTTATGTAGCTTTGAATACACTTCTGAAGACTGTATACATTGACACTAGTGCTGTACAGCGGCATAGAAGTACCATTCTGGAGTGCCTCAAGGTATCTTTAAATGACTTTCATATCCTAGTCATGGATGTGTTGAGTTAAATATAAATACTCTTGTAGGATTTTTAAGAAAGTTTTGTTAAAATGCTAGAGTTATTAAATAGAAATTATTTTAAAATTTGTAGCTGCAGGCAGAGTCTTTGACTGACTAAATTGTTGGTTTAATGTACAGATATGCAGATTATTTGAACTTCAGATAAATGATGCAGTTAAAATTAAATATTGGCTGAGGTTTAGGCTACAGAAATAGAGTAACATTCTATCTGATCTTTTTTGTGTGAGACAGTGGATTTAACACTAAAGTGAAAATTAAATGAAGGATAGATGATCTGGATGGTTCCACCATGTAATATTTTGGCTCTGTGCCAGCTTTTCAGAGGGATGTTCTTTCCTGATGATAGAGGCATTATTTTCCTCTGAACATAGGCAGATAGCAAAAATACTTTTTGTTGCAAATCCTAGATCTATAATAACATCAATTTGAAAACCTCAGATCTTTGCGTAAGTGAAGGAATGTTAATACTGTGGGAATGGAGTTCATGCCATAGTAATTGAACACTAAATTAAGGAAAACCATAATTTGAGAACAGTGAAATAGAGATTCCACTCTGCGTAAATTTATAATGGAACTGTAGAATTGCATCATTGATTTGCTGTTTACAGGACCCTGATGTGTCCATTAGACGGAGAGCTCTCGAGCTAAGTTTTGCACTTGTTAACTCCAACAACATCCGGACAATGATGAAGGAATTGCTAGTGTTTCTGGATAAAGCTGACCCTGAGTTCAAAGCCCAGTGCTCATCCAGCATCGTTCTATCAGCAGAGCGCTTTTCTCCAAATAAGCGCTGGCATTTAGACACATTACTCAAAGTGCTTGTGGCAGTAAGTTGTAGAAATTATAAATGGTCTTCTGGGGCTGTCACCATTTAAAGATTTTTGAAATGTTGTTGCAAGTTATGAAGTCAAATAAAGCAACATTGAAAGAGAGTCCAGAGGTTAGATAATGATAACAAATGACAGATTCACTTTTAGAACTACCTAAAATTGGCAGGTACCACTTAAGGTTTTGAATGTAAAGATGTCTCAAGAATGGATGTATGTATATATTTTGTTTTCATAATTTACATTTGAAGATGGTTAGTTGAATTCTGAACTTTTATAAATTGATGAAGGTTGACGCTGAAGCTTTAAATATGTGGCTGTTGATCAATAAAAGTTGCATTATTAGTACATGAATGCAGTGACACAATCATTACTAGCTAGCTCCATGTATACGGAGAGCACTGTCATAAATGTATGCTCCAAATTTAATATTTACATCCATATGACTGGCAAAATCTGAATATGACTGTTATTGAGTACAGTTACCCCAGAACAGGTAATTTAATTATTTGTGCGGTGTACAGGCTGGTAACTATGTCAGGGACGATGTGGTGTCATGCACAATCCAGTTGGTCTCAGAGTCAACATCACAGCAGGGCTACATTGTAGAGCAACTGTGGCATGCGCTCGAGCAAGACACAATGGACCGGCAACCACTGACACAAGTTGCCACTTGGTGCATTGGAGAATATGGGGATCTGCTTCTGTATGGACCTTCGGCCAGTGAAGACAATGCCATCAGGGTGAGTATCAAAAAGTGAAGGGATCATTTGTTTCACAAATGGGTAGCAGCTACATGGGCATGGTGTGTTTTTAGGCACGTTTATAGCAATCACATGCATTACATCCTAGTAGAATTCTACAAATCTTCATGTGCTATAATGACTTTCAAATAATTTTAATGATGCCTTATTGTCAGGGTTCACCATATGTTGGCTTAGTTTACCAATTATATAAAATTTCTATTTGCCCTGTATTTCTGCCACAATAATACTTACTGTCAGGAGAAATTGTTTGCAAACAACTGCTTACAGGTGACCTGCATCGTACAGAGATAAGTCATCACTATTGATAGTTCTTAGCATTGTAAAACAAAGTGACAGATCATTCACACAGTGTTGAATAAATACATACAGCAAGTTATATGTTGCTTCAATCTTTTTGTTATGGCCTGATATTCAAACACTCCAGTATCATGTTAACAAAAGCCTTCATACCCATGCCAGTTACTGATTTACTATTAGTCGATATACGTTATATAATCGAAGGTAAGGGTTAATGGTATCAGGGATTGACATGATGATGGAGCCAGAGACAGTCTCTGAAACATTAGAAATTCATTACGTATTGACTTGACTGATTGCCTAAGAAGACTTCTTTGCATAGAATTTTGTGATCTGCTGAATGCTTGTCTGTTGCTCATGAAGGCAATGGAGCCGTGTTAGTAAGGCTTCAGTCCTCTTGAAATTTGTTGTTTAAAGAGATTTGTTTTTGTGTTCTGTTATTTCATGTATACAGATAACAGAGGATGATGTGATAGCAGTGTACCAGAGATTATTATGGTCTACACAGAATACAATCATTACCAAGCAGTATGCACTCTTATCACTTACAAAACTCAGCACACGGTTCCATGCAGGCAATGGGTAAGTTCCCTTTTTATTTTGTTCCAGCATTCAAATTGTGTGTGCGCACGCACGTGCATGTAACTGGTTAGATTTCAGGTTTGCACACAATGAGTATGTAGATATTGGGATATTACACCATAGTCTGGTAAAAATTTACTGATATTTCAGAGGTGCTGTCTCTGTCATCAGGATGATGATGCATCACCCTGATGATGGAATGAACACAGGGTGGTCCAACTTTTTTCCTCGCTCAGGCCAGAATAGTTTTCCTGTTGGACCCAAGGGCCAAGAAACTGTCATTATTTTTGGATCGTTGTTGTCTTTAATAATACTTATTAAGAAATGACAGATTACCATTGCATATGCTGAAATATAAATGTTATTTAAATGTGCACAAACTACTGTAGAGTTGTATATTATTTTAAATTTGCTCTTGCAACAGCTTGTATCTCTCACAATTTTTACCTGGAAAACACAAGTTATTTGAACTCCCCTACTTCAACAGCTTGTATCTAATACAATAACAATTTGTGCCAGTAGAACGTACATCTTATACTTTTAGAGTTAATGGCTTAAGAGAGAGTACTGAGCAGAATGTTCTTTTGCTAGTGAGGGAATATCAACTTCCCCAATGTAATCCGCAAAGTGGGTAGGATCATTTTTCTCCATGTTGTCTTTAAAAATATAACGTTTTCTTCTGAAAGAATCAATCTGGCACATAAGCTGGTCATTATTTTGGTTTTTGCCTTGATGTTTCAAATTGAGATTATACAGACTTTCTGTGAGATCTACCAAGAAAGCCAAAGTGTAAACCCATTTATGATTTTTCAGTTTTTCTTCAAGCGAGAGTATATTGGTCTTGACGCTTTCTTGCATAAATGATTTATCTGGTTTAAAAGATTTAGTGCATAATGAGAACATCTTACTGTTGATGTGACCATTTTGTGTGATTTATTTCAGTAAAATATGTCAAATCATTGACACATTTGGTAGCCATCTGCATATTGAGCTTCAGCAGCGTGGGGTGGAGTTCTCCCAACTTTTCCGCAAGTATGAGCATCTACGACCAGCATTATTGGAGCGGATGCCGCCATTGGAGACTGCACGACCCACTGGTGCAAATAACCCTGCTGCTGTGACAAATGGTGAGACATCAGAAGATCTAGATGCAACAGGAGATGAGGGCAACCTTCTTATAGATGGCAGAAAGGGATTCGGTGAATCAGAAGCACATGACTCGGTGAGCATTTACATCCAAGTTTACAGTTTCCCACGCTATGGGGTTGGAATATAAAAATTTCACAGTAATTACTTTAGGTATGCAACATTTTCTGTACAATTCCCTATAGATTGCTTTACAATAAGGTTATTCGGTGTCATGAGGCTTTGATGCAGTATGGAGTAGAATGGTTTGAATAGAATGAATTCTGTGCGATAGATTTTGTATATGGTGTAAGTATAATCCTGTTTAATGAGTTTCTGAAGTCAGTAAAGAAGAAATGTGTTATATTCTGGCAATTGGTTTTAGCTGTTCATTGATGTTGGATATGACTAGATGAAAATTGTATTTCTCCCTCCCCCCCTCAAAAAAACAACAACAACAACAAAAGCTGAGTGTTTGATAAGGAAATGCAAGATTGAAATTTTTCAGTACTTATTTTTGTCTTAAAATTGGAAAAAATAAGATAAGAATTTCTGCATGTCTTCTCCCTAGAATGCCCTGTTGGTTCTTTTGGGAGGTGCAGACAGTGTTGAAAATGATGTCACGCATCAGAAAGAACCCAGTAAACCTGCCAGCACAGACAATCAGGATCTTCTTGATCTTCTAGGTGAGTGGAGAAGATACTGTATAATGTTTGCATTTTAAATGATATTAGAATGTACTTTGTAAAAGAATTATAAGTGGAGTATAGTTATTTTCCTATATTTGTGTGCCATTATGAACGGTATAAATATATTTTACTTACCAAGTTTTTCCAATTTGTTTCTTGGGACTCACATAAGTGAAGTTTGCTTTTGTTTTTGATATAATATAAGAAATGTGTTATTTTTAATTCTTTAATAATTACAATCATTGTGTTTGGATAATAGAATTGCAACCCAGAAGACAGCTATCTTCAGAATGCTCATTGTAATAGCATTGTGCTTACTGAAATATAAGTAATGAAATTAATTCCATGGAATAGAATTGTTCTTGAGATGCTAATATTTGCTCAGGTAGTCAAGAAATTACTCAGGTTTAAAGGAACCTAAGAGTTCATTTATGTTTACAAGATGCTGCCCCTGTTCTGTCCATAGCCAGATGAAACCATTCCTGACTTTCAAGAATCAAATGGAAGGGGTGGAGGGATATGTAGGAAGGTGCAAACTAAAGTTGTGGATTATCTATGATGCATTTGCTTACTTTTCTTTGCTCTCTTGTTTTAACTTTCAAACTTTTCCTTTTGATGTTATTTTATCGACTGATAAAATAAAGATTCAATGTTAATTCAGATTTTTCAGCAAATAATGACAGTTTTTAAGTAATATGCTTGCATGGTTGTGAAGTTATGTGTAGTCATAATGCAGTAGAGTTGTAATGTGTTGTGCAAGAAAGATATCCAAAACCTGAGATTTGTGTGCATCATTCTACTCATTTAAGCTCAGGTAGTAAGTTTCTGATTGTGAAGTGAGTGACAAGAGTTTGATTACCTGCGGAGCGGCCTTTTGTTTTTGAGGTTGTGAGAGTTCAGATTGTGGATTTGTGGGTTGTGACACTGTAGTCTTATATGCTGTTGTAAACATTTTGGAGGAACATGCTGCCTCTATATTCTACAAGAGTACACAAGGTCACGGTCTAGAAGGTCACTGTCTGGATAGGGGATTTTTTTGTTTGTGACAGTGTTCATATAATCTGTTGGACCCACCCAGCCTCTTATCCTGTGACTACCAAGGGCTCTTTTGTTGGTAGTAAAATGCCTCGAGTATGAAGCTGATCATTTACTTCTGTCTAGTGTTGTGAGCATAAGCCCCACCTTGGTTGACAAGCTTGCTGACAGTGCATTTAATGTGATTATTTGTGCTGTGTTTCGTTGTTCCATTCTGTGGTCACCTTGGTTGACAAGCTTGCCGACAGTGCATTTAATGTGATTATTTCTGCTGTGTTTCGTTGTTCCATTCTGTGGAGTGCCACTGATCTAGGAAAGTAAGATGGAAGACTTTTTATTTTACAAGGTGTTGGCCAGGCTAACATGGTTAACATTAATATCTACCCCTGATTACCACAAATGATTGTCAGTACTTTTTTACCAGTGTTCAGTAAAATAGTAGATCTCTTCATTATTTTCCTATCACTCATGTTAACACTAGTGCTCAAACAAATCCATTACTTTGTGCTGATTTACAGGTGGATTGGACCTGAATAGTTCTGCTCCTGTACCAGTAGCTGTTCAGAACAACAACAACATTCTCCACAACACAAACCAAAGCTCTAACTTCTTAGTGGATGGTCTTCTGAACAATGAACCTGTTACAAAGAGTAAGTTCAAACAAGCTAAGAGCTTTGATGTCAGCTTTATTTGTATGCAAGATCTCCAGGATGCAATGTTCGTTAGTAATTTTTTTCCATAGGCTATAAAATAACATTGTGATTATGCATAATTTGACTGGACTGGATGAGGAATGCCAATGGCATTTCTCGATGATGCTGTCATCGCCTGCCAGACAGGTGGTGTCTAGTAAGCCTGCGAAGTTTGTTGGCCCCAAGCATCTTTGACCTGACCGGCATAATTCAGAAAAGTTAGATTTTGGGGAATGCACAAGAATATACTGTGTGTGCATTCCAAACTTTTTAGCTTTGTAATTTTATTGCATCTGTGTTTTAATGTTTGTAGATTTGCCAAGCATCACAGCATATGAAAAGAATGGTCTGAAGATAGTGTTCTTGCTGGAACGTCTGCCAGAAAACCCCAACATGACAGTTATTACAATGTCTGCCACGAATGAAACCCTTAATCCCATGAGCGAGTTCCTGTTTCAAGCTGCTGTGCCTAAAGTAAGCTGATGATACTAAATGTTGTTTACACTATGCAAGGAAGCTTCAGTTTGCATTGGAATATGTTACACCAGTTGTGATATTTGCTTGAACATAAGACATTGTTTTCCGAATTTAGCACATGAAAATTATATAATTGCACACAGAAGATAGTTCTTCACTATATCTTTTAATATTTATAGTGCAGGTAGGGCCATGCTGTTAGTCAGTCAGCCTTTCTCCACTCATATCTCGGGATAATTTGTGCTGGTATCAAATCAACCTTAGTTTTGTATACTTCCTTTTTTGTTGTTATAGTGAACAGTGCAGCCAGTGTATCTGAAACCCCAGAAAATATGTGAATTGTGAGTTTGGATTCTAATTCTTTCCCTGCCCTTGTATATAATTTCTTTCCGCTCTACCAAGCCTCATTTTTTCTCTTCTGCTTGCTGTCATTTCTAGTCACACTGTTTCAGAATTAATGCAATTGAGTGACTTGTATGAAATACAGTGTTATTGAAATAACTGTTCTTTATAGTGGGAAAAGAAGCAATGCTTTGTAACAGTCAGCAAGGTAATTTTGGAGTGTATAGTAAAATAATCCATTGTGAGCACATCTTGGGAACTCAGCTTACCCAAGCACTACTGGTATTTCCTTACTGGAGGAGGGTGCGGGAAAGATTCTTCAAGCTGTGAAAATGAATGCAGCACTCTGACCCCTGTAGAGGGTTTTAGATTTGTTTTGTCGAGTGGTAGTTATGAGCACTGGGCATTATCTCCCATAGTGCAACAAAGTTCGCCAGATGCTAATTCTTGCTGTGAGATTAAATGGATGCTGTGTTATTGAATGTTTTGTAGAATTTTGCATGCAACAAATATTTGTTTCAGACATTCCAGTTGCAGATGTTGTCTCCGTCAAGTACTGTGTTAGCACCTGCTGACCAGGTAACGCAAGTTCTTCGGATCACAAACCCTAATAAGGTAAATACTGCTTTGTACATACGATAAAATATGAGATCCAAGTGTTTGAATATACAGATAAACAGTTACTCTTTATGTGGAGGTTATATTCATTATACGTGCATTCTCTTACCAAGACACGGTATGGAGGGGGTGTGTCTTGTACATGGATATTTTACTGTTTGAGAAAGTACACTGCCTGATCAAAAGTATCCGGACACCTACGCGAAACTGTCCTCTAAGTGTCCCTCAGATTTACTGCCCAGTAGTGGACATTAATACAGGGTGGGCCCACCCTTGGCATTTATTACAGCTCTAACTCTGCGGGGGAGACTGTCTACCAGGTGTTGGAATGTCGCCGGGGGAATGGCCGACCATTCTTCCTGCAACGCTGTAGCAAGC